ATCCGGCACAGTGACCGCTAACTGGACGGTTCGAATCGACATCAGTGGGGCGGGCGGGTTTCCTTGGAATACCTTTCTAGACCCATCGGCTTTCTCGATATAGGCACACAAATTCTCATTTTGAAATGGGATGACCATATGGTCGCCGGGATCTGCTGCGACCGGGCTTGCAACAGCGTCCTCTAATTCTTCATCGAGCAGCTGAGAAATTCGGATCTCTCCCCACGTGAAACCTGCTCGGACTTCCTGTTTGAACCGGTTAGCCGCGTTCTTTATTTTCGATATACACTTGCCCGCGCACAGCTGACTATCTTGCCGGTGAAGAGACAAACCCCAGTTTGCAGCTTCAGAATTGCATCGGGGACAGCTTTCATGTTGCTATATCCGCCCAGTTCAGTCAACGCTCGCGATCGGAACGGAATCCTACTTGGTTTGTCGACAAATGGAGATAGCTCTGCCTATTCTCCACGCCTGGCTTTGTGTACGGGGTACACCGTAATCTCGGGCATCACTGACGGCTAGTGGAGGGCAACACAAAGCCGCCGAAGATCCCATTTCAGTGGTCACTGTCCGCATCAGTGTTTCGACGAGATGTTCATTCTTCACTTTGGTGAGGAGCTATCCATGTCAGATTAGCAAAACGCGAGACCGATACAAAAAGTAGCACCGACGACAACATTGCCATCCCCATCACACAATGCAGAAGGGATGAGGCTTAGATGCAAGTTAAGATTTAGACGAAGCTGTGCCCAGGAAGTACAAACGCATTGGGCCGATCATATACAGCTAGAGACGAAGCCAGTTAAAAAAATAATCAACAGGTATGGCATCGCAACGACGGACCTGGCAAAATTTGATTGAGTTTAGGGTAGGCTGAAATGCATGAGCTTATTGTTTCCGCACTGAACGATAAACGCACCGCGGCCCATAAGATCACCATCGAAAGCTGGTATTTCGTAGAAACCAGACATAACCAACGACTGCATTCCGTTGCTACCTCCGATTTCATCGCTTAAACCGAAGTCAGTGAGTATATTCTTCCGACTTCGGTCGACGTACCATAGTGTCGCAGCGAAACTTGTCACTCCACAGAATTTGGCGAGCTCTGCTCCAGCCTCCACGATAGAAGTACTTGGCATTAATCTTTCGGAGCCGACCGAAGGCGAGCCCATGTAGCCTTGGTAAAGTAAGACCTTTGCTAAACTTGCAGGAGAAACACATACCACCGCGGGCAAGAACCGCATTATCTACTAGCGACGAGTGGTCAACAATCCGGAGAACTTTACCCTCGCGTAGCATTTGTCGGGTCTTCAAATAAGCGGGGTATGGATCCCCGCCTCCGCCCTATGGAAAGCGAGTTGAGCTGAGGATGGTGGAGGCCATAGTTGGATCGAACCGTCCCGAGGACCCCGCAGCCTTCCTGAATAAAGACTGAACGAGGAGACGTAAGAAACGGGGGAATATCGCCATGCCATTGTGTACTTACACAAATCGGTCTCGCTTAAAATCCACTCATTTCCTACAATCTTAGGCCGATATGATTGATAATCCATCCCTTTCGCACCGTCGCTCCCATCCAGAATAATTGGTTGCGCTGATTCGGGTTCTTCCTCCACATCGGCTGGATATGCGGGTTCAACTTTGGGCTGTGGGTTCTGAATTCCAAGGTTTCCAACAGCTCGTACGATGATCCGCGTCGCTTGATTACTAACATACTGCAAACAGGTTGGCTGAAATTATGAGCATGAGAGAAATAATCAAACCTGAACAGGAAGGATGGTTATCTCGGCGATGGAAACATGGGTAGGTTCTGCGCCAGCGGCAACAGCTTTTTCAATAGCCAGCTTTTTGATGCGCTCCAAGACTTCGGGAAGTTTCTGGCCTTGCAGTATCTCAATGGTGTCGACGTCCCCGGAAACATTGGCGATGGCAGCGCCAACAGCATTCGCTACGCTGTGGAATGGCGGGAGGCTATGTAACGGAAATGTGAGCTGAACTAACTTGAAGAACGCGAGGTGCAGAGAACATACACAACTTCCTTGACACCCTTGAGTTTAGAGGGTAAAATGATGGAGCCCCCGCCAACTAATAAAATTATGCAGTCTTCGGGGCTAGTTTTCATCCGGTCCACGACGTTCTAATGGAATAACGGGCGATTTTTTCAGTCTGTTCGCCCTCGAAGTAAGGACTGGGCAAACCTCGAGCAGTTTCTTCATTACAGTGTTTGCTCGTGCGACTACTTCGTCAGTAACATTTTGAACTTTGCTCGCATCACCAAAGTCTACAGCGCCGGAACGAACACAGATATCGGTGGCTGTCAAAACTTCACCTCCAAAGACCTTCGCGTCACGGGTCAACTGAGAAAACGGGTTGTGAGCAATTGAGGAAAGAGAAAATAAAACAACATACATGAAGGCCAACGGAATCTGGCCCAACAGTGACACGGCCGTTGGCATCTACTCTAACTCTGGACCCTCCACCCAATCCGATGGAATTGACATCAGGCATCGAGAAACTGAATCTTCGGTGAGAATTGATATCACAACCGTTCTATGGTCGACTTACTTTGTTCTGACACCAGCAACTGAATGTTGTTGGTCAAAAATAATAAAAATAATTGAAGTTTCGACTGGACGAACCCTCGATAAACGCGGCTGCCTGTCTCGGAAATCCGCTGGGAAGCAGTACACCGACATCGGTCGTCTGAACACCTCTTAGTTTCCGTTCGAGAAACCCCGATTCTGTAGACAAACCGTTCCACCACAGTCCACCACGATCACGTTCTTCGCTGCCTCCTCCTTCGTTTTCAGATCGATTCCTGCCAAGAATGAGGCACCTGCAGTTTGATTAGAACAAGGTTCGACACTACGTAATCGACAAACCGCGCATGGAGTTGGTGGCACCAGAAGAAAAGGTTCGAATAGGAAGTCTAGCAGCCTCTACTGCGCTCGTAAGCGTCCCGTCGTTCTGGCATTACAAAATGAGAGCATGCTGGAGTGGTGTAAGTCAAAGTATACCTGGGTAAGGTACAGTGGACAGGTCAGTCCGAGTCGCTTCATGGCGTTTTCGAATCCGCGAATGGTACGTTGCGCGAATGTGCCGATCGATGCGTTGAGGATGGACGCGTTTTCGCGCTCAATGAACCCCACCTGTGCAACTAGAATGGAAAGGTCAGTGTTTCATCTTTTGGATTAAACATGGCGGACCATCGCGGGAACACACTATGTTGATGTCGGGACCAAGTTCTCGCAGAAGGATCTTCTTGGCCAAATATTCATTCTGCCCACTCACATCTAACGGAGAAACTAAGAGAGTACTTTCAAAAAATATCTGACACAGCAATGGGAAAACTGACAAACACCAACGAGAACAATGTTCTTGAGGCCCTTGGATTTAATCTGCTTTGCCTGTTCGATAACCTCGGCTTCGTCAATTTCGTTAATTAAACGACCATCGCTGCGGGAATACTTTAGGCCAAAAAGAAAACGAGATTTAACAATTGACAGACATTTGCAATCCTCCCTTGATTATTGCGATATGTCCATTCATAATTGCTTCGAGGTGCGGCGGGAAGTCGATAAACTACAGCACGGTTTGAAGACTAATCAAGAGATTGCTGGAAACTTGCCGTCGGATATTCGAAAGTGTAAGGAGCTGCAAGTCGGATGACGGCCACCTTTGATAATCTCCTGGCATCGGCTTGAACGACCGCATTGATGAAATGCTGAAATTGATAATTGAGGAGACAACCTTCGTCTGATCGTATAGATACGTACGGTAGTTCCAATCGCCAAGCTGAGGATCTCTCCACCTTGTGGATCAACACCAGCATCGGCCATGACGTTCCTCACAGCGGCTTCAATCCCGTCCGTTACATTTACGGTGGTCTCGTGTTTAAAGCTTGACACAACTCCTCTCTTTACCGGGTCTGAGGTCTTTGTGATGTCTATTATAACAGCATCTGTATTTGTGCCTATCCAAACCGGTCAGTGTATGAAATCTGGGGGTACACGGAGCTGAGTACCTCCAACATCCACACCGATTCGGTATCGGGACATTGTGTATTTGGGTTACTCTCGTTAACTAGACTTTGTGACTGAGCGATGAGACGCAAGTGGCTCTCAAGGTACGTTTGGCTCAAGACGTGATACGCCGACGGGCAGAGATTTGGAAGTTCAAGGCGGCTGGCCGGCGGGGAAAAAGCAACCCGATAGCCTGTGGTAATTTGGGTGAGTGCAACCAGATTCCAAATTGTGTTTGAATCTTCTGTCAAGGGATCCCAATTTACAGCCGATCCTGAAAGTAATGAGAATAACTCGATTTTTTTTTGTGCGGTTCTCAATTTGGAAATACCAAGAACAGTGGTCGCAGGTTCGATTCCCGGCGCACGCATTTCTATTAAGGTGGAAAATTCGACTCTGCGGTGCTGAATTCATATTAATCAGCCCAAATTCCGTCATACAACACTACTGCCCTTAGGCCCGAACTACGGAGGATACCATTCCACCTCACTTTTTATGGTCCTGCACAGTCATTTTTCTGTTCAAGGTCAGGCGAAATTGAATGCTTTGGCCACACAAATCTGATACCTCCGGTATGTCCCAGTGGCATTTCATGAAGGAATATATTTTCCTACAATTTTCTATATAGTACCATAGGAGCCAACAGAATGTGAGATTATATTTGAATGGTGTCTGCACAGACTGCATTCAGCAGTGTATTACTCTATGTCCGTCATTAGACTGATGTATATTAGTCCCACCTGGGCGCTTTATCACAAATTCACCTTGAAATAATGGCTAGAATGCTCTGGGGTCGCCGAATGCTGACAAAAAAAAAAGTGCCGTGTTGGGAATCGAACCTGCGACCCCTGTTTTTGGTATTTCCAAATTGAGAACCACACAAAAAAAATCAAGTTATTCTCATTACTTTCAGGATCGGCTGTAATAAAAAAAGTAAGGAAAGGAAGCAGTGGAACGTCAAACAGAGCGGAAAAAAAATGCATCAGCCGGGAGTCGAACCCGGAGCTAGGCCAATATCACTTACGTAAGCAAATGGGAAGACCCAATGTTACCGCTACACCACTGATGCTATGAAGAGCATCCAGAGTTGACTAGATAGGTAGGGGAAAGAGAGGAAGGTCCTGGGAGGAGGAAAAAAGGAAAAAAATGCACTAAGTCGAAAGGGGCTCGAGAAAAAAAAAAAGAACGAAGTCGAGAATGCCGTGGGTTCGAGGCGCAGAGGCGGCATACTTGTCGGCTTTTTTTTTTCTGCGGTGACGAGCCCGTGACGGGATGTTGAATGTCGCCGATATCCCCGGATATTTTTTTGTGCATTGAAAGGTTCTTTGATTCGATTCATCCCTCCACCTTTCCTGGTCCACTTGGCATGTACTTGCACCATCTCGGTCGCTGGACCCGAGCGCGGGGCTTTGCTACCGCCGTTGGCGCTGGGCCGCGCGTCCCTCAGACTGTCATTGAAAAGGTCGTGCAAAAGTACGCAGTTGGGCTCCCGGCGGGCAAGGCAGTCAAGGCAGGGGACTATGTCATGATACGCCCCGAGCATGTCATGACCCACGACAATACTGGCCCTGTTATATCCAAGTGCGTCCTGGCACATTTTCCGCTTGAACGTTGCCAAAATATACGTCTTCAGGTTCAAGTCGATCGGGGCAACTCGAATCCAGAACCCTGTACAACCGGTATTCACCCTGGACCACGACGTACAAAACCGGTCCACGAAGAACTTGTCAAAGTACGCCTCGATCGAGGAATTCGCTCGACAACACAAGATTGATTTCTATCCTGCCGGACGCGGAATTGGACACCAGGTTCTGGTCGAGGAAGGCTACGCGTTCCCACACACTCTCACCGTTGCAAGCGACAGCCATAGCAATATGTATGGCGGCGTAGGATGTGTGGGGACGCCTATCGTCCGCACAGATGCGGCGGCTCTCTGGGCGACAGGCAAAACTTGGTGGCAAGTACCGCGTATGGTCAAGGTCGAGTTAAAAGGGAAGCTCGCTCCAGGTGTCACGGGCAAGGATGTCATCGTTGCATTGTGTAGCTCCTTCAACAATGACGAGGTTCTCAACGCTGCCATCGAGTTCACGGGTGATGGGGTAGCGACCTTGAGCGTCGACGAACGGCTCACAATCGCCAACATGACTACAGAGTGGGGCGCCCTGGTCGGCGTATTTCCGGTCGACGAGACATTACTCCAGTGGTACGACCGCGTCTTGGCCAAACTCGAGCTTCGGACATTTTCGTCGGCTGAGATGGCATCTTTAATTCCACCCCCACCTGAACACCCTCGTATTCACCGCCGCCGCCTTGACGCCCTTCGTTCTACTAATCTACAGTCGGACCCCGATGCAGCATACTCATCGCATCTGATATTCGACCTTTCAACTCTTGTTCCCCACGTCTCTGGTCCCAACAGCGTTAAAATATCCACACCGCTCCCTACCCTTGAAGAGTCGCGCATTGCGATTCAGAAGGCTTACCTCGTAAGCTGCACCAACTCTCGTGTCTCCGATATTGCAGCAGCTGCAGCTGTAATGCGAGGAAACAAAGTCGCTCCTGGAGTCGAGTTTTACATCGCCGCTGCCAGCTCTGCTGTGCAGATGGAGTCCGAGAAACTGGGCGACTGGGATGCCTTGGTTCTGTCCGGTGCCAAAGTCCTCCCCGCTGGGTGCGGTCCATGCATTGGGCTGGGGACCGGGTTGTTGGAAGAGGGTCAGACAGGTATCAGCGCCACGAACCGTAATTACAAGGGACGGATGGGTCACCCGAAAGCGTTAGCTTACCTTGCGAGCCCGGCTGTTGTTGCCGCGAGCGCGATAAAAGGGTACATTTGCGGCCCAGCCTCCATCGACCCTTCTACGCTCCCGCCTGTAAAAGCGCCCACATTCTCCATCTCGAACCAGCCGTCCGCATCCACTCTCCCCGCTTCCCGAGCAAACGACCCCGTTTTGCCCGGTTTCCCTAAATCGTTCGCTGGCCCTCTGTTATTCACACCGCAAGACAACCTCAACACGGATGCTATATATCCCGGCAAATACACGTACCAGGACGACATAACCCTCCAGCGACAGGCCGAAGTTGTGATGGAGAATTATGACACGGGGTTTGCAGCACTCGTGGCCTCGTTGTCGAAGCGCGCGTCTCCGTCGAACGACAGCGAACCTGCGAAAGGCGTAATATTGGTGTCGGGATACAACTTTGGCACGGGGTCCTCGCGGGAGCAGGCCGCGACCGCGCTGAAGGCGGCGGGGATTCCAGTGGTGATCGCAGGGTCGTTTGGCGATATATTCAAACGAAATGCGATCAATAACGGGCTAGTGTGTTTGGAGTGCCCGGAACTCGTGGCAGATTTGACCCAGAGCTACGCCAAGGCCGGCGTGAGGGGTGCTGGAGGGCTGCAGGGTGAATTGACCGTCGATCGAGGACTTAATGTGGTTGTGGGGATGGTCGATGGCCGGGTGGTGTTGACAATTGACGGGGGTGAGAAGGTTTACACCGTAAACCCTGTGGGTGCAAGTGTGCAAGAGTTGTGGGTGTGCGGAGGATTAGAGGGCTTCATATTGAAGGAGATTCAGGCCGCGGAGGCACAGCCATCTGTTTGAATGGCCCAAAAAAGTTTGAAATGTTTTCGTAGTATCTTTCATGTATCAAATAGGACCTTGCATTGTTTTTGTGGACAGTAGTTTCATAAGGCCTACGCGCCTTCATCGTGCGACAGATGGCGACCAAATTGCGCAGGAATAATACTAACTTCGAAGGTTTAAGGCAAGGTCATAAAATACAAATATTGTGTACAAGGCATAAAGCAAAACCGTTTACACTAACTGGTGAGGGGATATAAGTAGATGATGTCGTAGTTATACATATGAGTGTTCGACGATAGCGAGAACGAGATCATTAAAGGGCAGGGCTCCAGACGCTTCGATCTGTTCCTTCGGGACTGGAAGTATTGGGAGAAAACTTTTCACGCAAAACGGCAAGCTTGGAGCGATACTCGTCAACGCCGATGTAGGCGCCGCACATGCGGCGTTTGCCTGTAAAGGCAGAGCGACCATGCAGAACACGGTGGTTGTCGATGACTGCGAACGGCAAGTAAGCTAGTGAAGCGGAAGATAATAGTTTATACGCACTAACGGCGGTGCCTGGGCCAAGCTGGACCCAGTATTCAGAGTCCGCGCTGGTGAGGAGTTTGTTCCATGTTCGGATGGCATTATACCACTCCTCGACTTGATACGGGTCCAGATTGTTCATCACACTTCGGTCGTCGTTATTCCATCGCACTTGGGTGAGTTCTCCGGTCACCGGATCGTGGCTAAGCACGGGATATCCAGAGGTCGGGTAAGGCTGGTAGAGCGCAGAGGGTTCACCGGCAGCGTGAGCAGGGACAGGCGTGCGCGCTAAAATGGAGTATACATCGGGGTGCAACTCCTTGAGTATAGAGGCGACGTAGAAACCATCAACCAGTAGTGTAGAGCCGCCAGAGCCCTCCGTGTGTGACAGAAGGTGAAATAGTTGGAGGCCGCAAGGGTCAGTCTGTATGAAACAATAATTAAATTAAGTTGCGTAGCACGGATGAGGAAACGCACAAAATAAGTGTTGTCCGTGTGGGCACCGAGTGCTAGAGTGGTATAGGCAGTGTCGCCTTTTGCTAGGTCGGAGGTAAAGTCCCAGAATTTGCCGTCTGAAAGATTTTGTCTATTAATTAGTGCTATGTAGGTGTGAAAGAAAACTGACATTGAGTTTCGCGTATAAAACCGATGCGTTGGGAGAGCTCCTCGGTGGCTTCCGGTGTCGGTGGGACACCAGATATGAAGCACATTCCGAAACGGTCCTGAGATGGATTGAGGTGATTGGAGAAATACATGTTGTGATTACTTACAACATGCGATAACCATTTATACAGTCCGCGATCATCCTCTGACATTGCCTCCTGGTAGGTTATTGTAGGAGGCGATGTTTGAATTTTTGCGCTCCAAATGATTTTTCTACAGCCGATGAGACCCGGTTCGGAAGATGTAGATAATGTACTCACTCCGACTGAGTCTCCCTTTGTTGGAGAGGCGGATCATATGAGTTTTTCTGAAGCCATGACCACGGATAAAGGGATTCGTGTGGTTTCGAGGACGGCCCTAGTAATAAACGGTTAAAAGGTGTAAAGGTACACTCAGTATGTCGTACATGACACTCGAAGGCCGTCTGATGTTGGCTCGACTTGACTCGGCGTAATATCGGGAGGGATCTAGCGCTAAATTAGGGATTGATCAACGAATGGCCAAGAGAATGCTAACCTCGAAGGTGTTGATCAATCTCTGTTTTGTTATCGGGTGGAAACACGACGAACAACGACAGTGATCACGCAGCCATATGTTGTGGCTTTAAACCGTCAGCGGAATGAACGGGCTTGAGAGCTCAGAGTGCATACAATCGAGACCACGTTCGCGTATCCCAGCCCACTGCAACTTTGCGGCCATCCATACTTATCATGGGAAGGTCATCGGAAACCACCTCCGAGACTGACCGAGATGCAGTCGGTGGGGGCGGCGGCTGGGTATTGAGAGCAGCAGCAGACGCAGACGCGCGCGCTAAATGAGTGGCCAGTCCACGGTGCAAATTGGTTGCCCGCTGTACGTCCGTGTCAAAATTGAGTAGAGGTAAATGTGTGCTCAGACGACATACCGGGATACCTCTCGACAAGGACGTCGCCCTCGCAATGCCGAGGTCTTTGGCCAGAGATGCGCAAGACATCCACATCGCTGCGCCTGAGCAAGCCGAATCGGAGAGTCGAAGGAGACTGCGAAAAAAGAATCGCGATGTCCGGGCCGGATGATTGATTAATCACGCTTTGGCGGCTTTGCGACCAAAAAAGGGAAGACATGAAAATTCAAACTGAGTTACATCCACTGCTAGTAGTACCGAGGCAGCGCGCCATCGCAAAATTCTATCGAATCCTGCGCCATTACAAGTAATAATCTAAGAATAAAGAAAAATACTAATGATAAACCACCTCATCTCTTCTTCAAACCGCCAAAACCCCAGCAGGTTCTGAGAATTTCATCGTCTTTCAAG